TCAACCTTAGTTAACATAAACATGAATGATATATGAAAGAAAAAAAAATATTAATTCTGGATGTTTTCAAAATCAAATGAATCACTTGCTATTCCATCCATCGTGCCAATTTGTTCTCCAAGAGTTTCAAGAAAATCTGCCACATCCAAATTTGTTATGTTGCCAGGATCAAATATATCATCATCCTGATATGCAAGATTTGCCTCCACCCTTTTCTTTTAGGAAAGCCTGATAGAGATCTACCAAGTGTTTCGACGTACGACAAATACGTGTCCAATGGCCAGTCATTCCATATCGAAAACATTTGTGCTCAACATTTCTAGAACTCTGATCCAGTGGAGATTTTCCTTTATGATCATTATTTCGTGTGGTTCTTTTAAAATTTGGATGATTATAACGACCACCATAAAAAGAATGATTATTTCTTCCTCTACTGCGGTCACGCCCTCCAGCACGACCTCGATTATTAAAATTCACAGCATTTGTTTTAGGGTACGGTGTTGCTCCCATTCGTTGAGATTCATGGTTTTTCATCAACAACTCATTATTTTGCTCAGCAACAAGAAGTCATGATATGAGCTCAGAATATTTCTTAAAATCTTTCTCTCGATATTGTTGTTGCAAGAGCATATTCGAGACATGAAAGGTAGAGAATGTTTTCTCGAGCATATCTCCATCAGTAATTTTTTCTTCACCTAACTTCAATTTCAAACTGATTCTAAATAATACGGAATTATAATCACTTATTGATTTGAAATCTTGGAGCCTTAAATGCATCYATTCGTATCGAGCTTGAGGAAGAATAACTGTTTTCTGATGATCATATCTCTATTTCAAATTTTACCATAATACACGAGGATTTTTTTATTGTCAGATATTCCATCTTCAATCCCTCGTGAAGATGGTAAGGAAGGAAAATCATGGCTTTTGCCTTATATTGACTCGTCGTTGTATTTCCTTCTTTGATAGTTTCTCCCAAATTCAAAGCATCGAGATGAATCTCAGCATCTAGTACCCATGACAAATAATTATTGTCATTGATGTCAAGGGCAGTAAATTCTAATTTGGTGAGTTTTGTCATAGTAACACTATCACAAAGAAAAATATATGTATATTAGAAATTTAATATATATTAAGCATGAAAATAAAAGGAAAATCAAATAACCTACCTTTAGAACCTACCCTTAGGACCTACTTTTGAGGGAAAAAATGACAGAGAGTCGTGCTGATAACGTCTTGTAAAATTATAGAGTAAAATGAGGCATCACAAGTCACGAACAATGAGAAAATACGAGATTGGACAAAATATAAATTTGGAATTTGAAAAATTGAAAAAAACAATTTTAGAAATTAACATAAATTTAGAAAATAAAAAGAACAATTCCTCTCCAATTTCTCTTGAAAGTTCAACAAAGTTTCCACCAAAATCCACTCAAATTCTCACTAGTGTTATCCATGAATTGCCACTATTTATAGGCAATTTATACAGGTGTTAGATTTGGACACTAATAGGTAGAAAATAGACACATGGTGATAAGCGCCAAGGTTGCTCGTGTTTACAAAGCTAGAGGTCCTTCTAGGATCCTTGCAAACATTCACAAAAACGACTAACTTACCGAATGATTCCAAC